ATCTCTATCAAATCTCACTTTCGCAAGTGGCCGTGAAGGGATTAACAACCCCTTTATTGCGTTGGTTGCGAGTTCTCAGTTTGTTTGTGTAGGCGCGTGGGACTTTGGAGGAGCCCCCTACTGGATTGATACCTTGGTTCTCAAAAACTGAGGGAAATACTTACGCTACATTTACCGCATCACCCTCTCCTATTTGGGGAAAACCAACACTAGCTCAAGACATAGCACCCCAACAACTGGGTCGACCACCAACACTTGCCGCCCAGGGGTAGCAACGTGCGCTGGATGGTCGGACTGGTCGAATGTAATGGGTTTTTTTGACCACTTCAAATATGTTGTTGTTGCCGGAGCAACCATGTTTACTTCTCTGTTGATAACTTTCAGTCGACTTTTGCTCTCGACGTCAGCAAAAATCACTAAAGTGGCATTGACATTGGGATAACCATCATCCTCCTCTTTGTCCTCTTCCTTATCAGATTCTTTTTCCTTCTCATTGGGCTGACCCTTCTCATAGAAACTCTGAATCAGGAGTCGGCATTGTCGAGTGGTATGCTTGGGAAGAATCAAGTTACCCTCTTCATCTTTTTTGGTGTGTATGTGATGCGGTAAATCAAGCACATCATTCCCCACTTGATCTTTCACTTTTTTGGGGGTCCAAGGCCCTTTAGGCTTCCCCTTGAACTTCCCTTGATTCAAAACTGCTGCCTCAGTAGGACATGCGGGTTCGGCCTTGCATTTCTGCTTCCGGTTGGAGTTCCCTCCTCCGGTGTCCTAGGCGACTGATTTGTTCTTGCCGCTCCGGAGTCGGTCCTCTTCTTCGCCGTTAGCATACCGAGTGGCTATCTCCATCATCCGAGTCAGAGAAATGTCCCCAGTCCAACCGTACTTCAAATGGAGCTCTCTGTAGCGGACGCCTTCTTTAAAGTCACAGACTGCTTGATGCTCTGATACATTCTCCACAGTATGATGAAGGGTAGTCCATCTCTGGATATAATCTCTCAAAGTCTCATTCTGCTTCTGAACACAATGCTGCAATTCGGCCAATCCAGCAGGCCGCTTGCAAGTGCCCTCAATTTTTTTGGTAAACACTCGGGCTAACACTTCCCAACTGAAAATGCTCCCAGGGGCCAACTGATTCAACCAAGCTCTGGCAGAACCCTCAAGCATCAAAGGGATGTGTTTCATGGCCACTTCATCGTTGCCACCACCAATGTGCACTGCCACTCGGTAATCCTCTAACCAAGTGTCAGGCTTCGACTCCCCGGTGAACTTACTTACACCCATCACCAACCTAAAGTTGTGCGGCATCTCAACAGCTCGAATGGCCCTTTCGAAACACTCGGGGCCGGAAACGTGCACTCTGCTTCCACTGGGTCGGTCTCTATCCAGTCCTTCTTTGTATTCTCTATTCCTATCGACCAAACCTTGTACGAGAAGTGATCTTGCATCGAACCAAGGATCTCTTGGGTCGATTAGAGATCTGCAGTCATTACCATATGGGCGCCTATCTTCATACCACCGGGGCGCGTATGACCCGCCCCTCGGAGGGGGTGAAGGCACTCGACGGTGGTTGTCACGGGCATAATCACGATCAAAATCTCGGTGGGCTCCTCCCAGGTGCCAATCTCGACGGTAATCATGATCTTCACGTCGCAAAGGCGACCCAGGACTATGCGCCGATTGAACTATGTATGCCCTCACTGACCTGTTGTGGATCCTATTGGTGACTGATAAATGATTGTGTTTTGCTCCCCTACTACGCGGAGCAGCACTCGGATCTGCATCAAGCCTCTTCCAACCTCTTAATGGGATGGCTGAATAGACTCTGCTATACGTGCAACAGCTGTAAGATTCTAGATCGGAGTGCGGTATACCTAGGGTTTAGGTGGAAACAACTATCGTTGTCGTCAACTGGATTCGGGGGTAAGTGGACAGGTGCGTTCGTCGAGAGAATGCTGGAGATTTTCCAGACAGTGCGCTCAGCCAAAGTGGCCAGGCGCAGACCTTGAAGGCCCGAGCCTCGGAAGTCTTCCCCACAATAGGGGCCTGGAGCGCCTCCATGTTGCAGCGGTGCAACACTTCCCTGTGCTGCGAATTAAGAGGTTGGGGCTCGTACTCATCCTGATCATAAGACGGATCACCACCATCACCGTCGTCGCCGTTGCGGCCAAACCCGGGTGGGCTGCGATGAGAATTGACCATGAGAACTTCCGTCGCGGAGTCACTGCTCCCGCGCTCGGAAAGAGTGTCTGTGAAGCCAGTCGACTAGTCCGTAGAGGAATTCGTCAGGCTCGATTGCTGAGAGTTGAGGGGTGGCCGACTGGCGGGCCATCGCATGATTCACCCACCGCTGAAGCCGCGACCGACCGGATCGCTTGCAGCGGTGTCCAGCGGAGTGAGCGGATGATGCGGGAGCCGACCAATACTGGGTCAACGGCTGCCGCAGGCACTCGCGCAGAAATGAGCTGCCCTGTGGATCGGAAGAGCCTCGACATTAAGGGGGGCTTCTTGAAGCCAGGCGGAGTCGTCCGCGATGAAAGTGAGCGCGCCGAGACGGATCTCGCGGGCCACAGCCAAACTACCACCGGAAAACATGTCGATGAATATCGAAAAAAATTGCAACTTCATCGGAAGTTGCCAAGACGCTTTGCCCCACGGTGGGCACCCACTACAAGAAATATGTCAACTTGTGACCACCACTATTGGTCACTGAAAGGTCATGGTTTTTCATTTGCGACCTTTTTGTGACCAAAAACAGAAGGTCAAAAGCTGAGGGTCGTAAACTGACTATAGCGACCTTCTCTGTGAGAAGGTCGTAGACGTTTACGACCAAAATATGCCCACTGTGGCGTTTTGGTCACTAGCAACCTCCCCAGGCCACGTAGGCATCCAGCTTGGCAAACTGATGTGGCACCAGATTCAGCCCGGTCCAACTCTGTTTTCTACATGGGCCGAGCCCATCAATTCGGCCTATTTAGTATATTTATTTTTGTTAATTTTGTTCAGCTACATGGGCCAAGCCCAACTAGTCAGCCCATAAATTTTTATGCACGTTTGGCCTTTCAAGAATATATATAAAATTTTGTGCAGCCCATTTCTGGTTTACATTCAGCCTTTTTATACATTCAAATAATAATTCAATCCTGATGTTGGTCCAATACTCTTTTCAGCCCATTCACATATTCGTACAAATGATCCTCCTTTTCGACAAAATTTGCAAATAATTTCATATTTCAGCACTAAATATGTTTACATCACAGGCCATAAAGCCGTACAAACTAGTATCACTTGTTCCTATACAAAACTATCAAATGATACATACAACAAAACAGAATACAGAAAATTTAGTTCAACAAAAATAAGTTTTCTTCCTCTTCCATCTTCTAGGACACAAAACACCTGTGAAAGTAAAGATGCCACAACAAAAATGGAAGGATCAGCCATTAGAAGCATATTGAGTACAAGGGAAACATGCACTGTGAAAATTTTGACAGCACGAATATTTTTTATATTACAATAACAAACAGAAATGTAATCTGATTGCATAAGACATATGGCATTATCACCAAGACAAAGCAAAATTTATAGTGCCAACTCGGGAATGAGATAAAGCAAAATTTATAAATCTATAGCATCACACACGAGGTCTAAATTTATACTATGTTCCTTTAGAAGCAAGAGTTGGTTCGTGTCTAGCTTTTATTGCAGATAACTAGTAAATTTCCACAAAAAAGGAGCGACATATGTTTTAATCTCGTGTTTGCAGTATATATTCACAACATGTAAGAATACTTTGATTAACAAACTAACCAACCATCAACTAACACTTCACAGTACCAACTAACACTTCACAGTACCAAAAAAATGGGGTGGAGCTCAGCAATTCAGATGTGCAGCTGCCATGAGGGCTTCTTCGCATTCCACCTACAGCAGCGGCAGCTTCTACAAATCTGAGACACAAAACAAACGCATGCAGAAGGAATCAGAGGGAGGGGAGATGAAGAACATGGCAGGCATTTATATGATGGCAGTACATATGGAACAAACAGCAGCCCATAGTTGCATCATCATGTGTATAACAAAATCACGGTCGCCTCTACAGATAGCACTACTAGAGTAGAGAGCCAAGCATAATAATTCTACCAGGAGACAATGTAAAAACAGAGTCACACCATTGACAGATTAAGCCTTACAACATGTTTGGTGGCTCAGTGGCAGATGTATGCATGCACAAAAAGGGGGGCAATTTTTCAATCAAACTGAAGAAAAACACACATCATTTAGTAACCAATACAAATCTCGGTAGCTGTAGGTGCATGCATTGTGTAACAATGAGTAGTCAATAGCATTTCAGAGTTGTGCAATTACTAGTGTGTCGTCCTCTGTTTACCACACCACACATGGGCATGAGAAAATTGCTAAAAACCACTGATCGTGTGCTAATCTACATGGAAAATATGGCACATGATGGCAGGCAGTAGATATGAAACAAACAGGACTCCACACATGCATGTGCTATTATAATGTACAGAACAAAATCAGTCACCTCTACGACACTAGTAGATACATAGCCATTATTTAGTCATTACAATTACAAGAAGCTCTTGACTCAAGGCTCCATACACAGCCAAATGAATTGATTTATCTCTAACTAGTTGGTAACGAAGCATGGCACAAGACATACATGTCATAATGCCTATATAAGATGCAAAAAATATATGTGCATCTCATATCAGACTAAGAGCCAACTCTGCATAACAGTTCTGAATTTCTGCCAAAACTGAACACAACATGTACCAAGGAAAATCAACACTTGTAGATTCATATCACAGTAATAGCCAACACTGCATAACAGTTCTGAACTTCTGCCAGAACTGAACACAACATATACCAAGGAAAATCAACGCTTCCCAATTAATATCAGACTAACAGCCAGCCAACACCGTGTAACAATTCTAAACTTCTGTCAAACTGAACAAAACATAGACTAAAGGAAACAATCAGCAAACAAGATGAAAAGTGTAACAACCTGAGGTTCTGTCAATAGGATTTCCTCTGACGCAAGTGCTCACTCCTCTTCCATGCTTCGGAGCCATCACTTGAACTGTATCGGTGCCCGATTCACCATCGGAAGCACCAACCCCATCACCACGACGATTCATAGCGGAATCACGCGGCTTGAAACAACTCGCCCACGGATCCTCGAGCAGGCCTCGTGGACCAACATCATGCGGGCGAGGCACGTTCTTCTTACACCCAAGGGTATCAGAGGCTCCCTCTTGGAGCACCTTGAGCCCATGGCCACTACCCACATGGATCATGCCCCTGTCGGGAGTGGCGTGGTGGTGGTGCTGCTGCTGGCCACAGAGCTGCTGCATGAAGGACGCCTCCATAGAGCTGATGTACATGTTGTAGGTGTCGTTGGTCCATCCGTCCGACACCAGCCCCCCAACCTGATCACCCTGCTGAAGAAGAAGGTAGAAATCAGTTTAAGTTTTACAGGTGCAAAATCACATCAAACAACTGTCCGACAATAATACTAGACATCCAGATGTCCAAATGGTTATTATATACAGCATACACGATCTGTTTGCTTGGCTTTGTACTACTATGTAGCACTATGTAGCACTAGGACATCTTGAGATCATCACAGATCAATCAAGTGCAACACATGATCCTAGTTTCAGCATCACATCGGGTCCTAACTAACAATCGAATCAACAGATTAAAGCGCACATCAACTAGTGGACAAACCTGAAACACTAAATGAGTTTACAGTTAAGACTGAACTTTTGTACTCGACATAAACAGGAGCATATAACAGACACAAAGGTACAGCTTCAGACGTAAATCAATTGATCCTAATTGTGACACCACACCACACCTAAACTGACAACCGAGTCAGCAAAAGCACACAGTAGCAGCTTGCCAGACCTCCTGAACCGCTGACATGACACACCAGTTAGGACTGTAGTTCCGCACTCAGCATAGATCGGAGCATGTAGCAACCACAAAAGGCGCGGCAGCTTATAACTAACTAACTAACTAACAATTCCATAGTCCCATCCGGGTCTACCAACCGAAAAGCCCCCCAAAAATTCCACGGGCACACGGAACGGATCAGATGACAAAATTGGCTTACCCGGCCTCCGGGTAGTGCTGCTTGAACTCGAGGTGGTGGGAGGCGACGGGGCTGGCATGGCGGTCGTAGATGATGAACCTGGTGCTGGTGGTGCCCTGGTCGATCGACGCCACGTACACCTCCTCCGCCTTCCCCTTCCCCGCCATACTCCTTCCCCTTCCCCTTCCTCCACACTCCCAGAGCATGCTCACTGGAAAAACAAGCGCCTAACCCTCCGTCGGTGGGCAAACAGAGGAGGGCGGCCGGAGCAGCGGACTGAGCCTATGGAACAAGCGAGGAGGCGGTCCGCGTTGAAGTGGGAGGCAGTGGGACGCAGATCCTGGTCGTCCTCCTCCTCATTGGCAGATCCTGATCCAGTTCAAATCCAACCCAATAAAGGGGATCAGACAAGGAAGTAGAGAGAGGATCGGGGCTGGGGAAGGGGAAGTAGAGACAAGGAAGTCGGCGTCGCGCTCGGCGTACTTGCCTGCCTTGAGGTAGCGCGCAATGCGGCCGACGGGGAACTGGAGCCCAGCCTTGGACGACCGCGACACCGACTTGGTCGCCTTCGCCTTGCCGCGGCTGGTGATGCCTCCGGTGGAACTCATCGCCGATTCGCCTTTGGGGGAGGTCCGGACGCGGTTGGTGACGACGAAGGAGAAGACGATGAAGACGCGGTAGGAGTAGCGCCTCCAGCGCGATGACCGGCCGCTCCAGGAACCGCTCGCAGTCGATGGCGGCGGCCCGGTGGCTCAGCTAGATGCTGTCGCCAAGGACGACGAGAGGGACGAGGGGGGTCTGGATCGGGGGAGAGGACGGAGGGAGAGAACGAAAGAAAGAAAGGAGGCGGGGGGTGGATGAAAGAGAGGAGGCTAGGGTTTCGTCTCAGGCGGGGAGGCGAGGAACGACGGCTACCGCTGGATCCGGGAGGATCCAATGGTGTTTTGTGCATGATCAGTGTGGCTTGTCCACGGACCAATCAGAACGCAATACAATATTATGACCAATTGAATTGGTCGTGATAAATTTAAAAAATAAAATGTTAGATCATCTTAGCTATTTACTTGACCTGATAAATTGGAAAAAAATGAAACAAATGAAAAACCTTCTCATAATGTCATCAAATGTGACCTAGTTTTTAGAAGAAGAAAATTAACAAAATAGTAATAAGGAACTTTTCATTTTCTTTGCACGAAAATTCATTTTTCATTTTTCGAGTGCTCAAAATGAGTTTTTTTGTGAAGAACATACCAAATATTTGTTGCAAAATTGTATCAAATCATTTTTCTAAAATACTAGACCATATTTAATGTACAAATAACCAAATGGTTGGTGGTTAAAACTTTTAATCCACCTCTCATGAAAAAGACAAATTTCCGCCGATTTAGTTGGAAGCTGGTCAAATTTGAACTACAGCTGCCTCATAGTTTGCTATTTCTTTTTTACAAAAATCATTTCTAGGTACATAAGTACCTATTTAATCAGAGAAACACCAACAAAATTCCAAGATTCAACCACTAGCTAGGAATGGTCGAGCCCGCCGTTTTGACCGCATTTTCAAATGGGCATAAAAAATTCAAAAAAATCAAAAAAAATTGGAAAACCTTCGCATTGTGTCATTATATGTGACCAAGTTTCCAGGAAAAATAATAAACTTGTAATACGGAAATTATTTTAGAAAAGTGTTCTCAGAAATGAGCTATCATGTGTGAAGATTCATGGATTTCAACCCAAACGCTCAATCTCATGGCCACATTCATGGCATAGTTTTTTCAAATGATCTCATATTGTGCACAAGGTGCATCTTGGAATTCCAAACAATGTTGTAAAAGGGAGTTTTCATTTTCTTTGCACGGAAAATTCATTTTCCATTTTCCGAGTGCCTGAAATGAGGTTTTTTTGTGAAGGACCTACTATATATTTGTTGCAAAATTGTACCAAATCATTTTTATAAAATACCAGGCCATATTTAATGCACAATTTACAAAATGGTGGGTGTCAAAAGTTTTGATCCACCTCTAGTGAAAAAGACAAATTCCCGCCGATTCAGCTGGAAGCGGGTCAAATTTGAACTGCAGCTGCCTAATAGTTTGCTATTTATTTTTTCCAAAAATCATTTCTAGGTACATAAATACCTATTTAATCAGAGAAACATCAAAAGTTTTCCAAGATTCAACCACTATCTAGGAACAGTCAAGCTCGCCGTTTTGACCGCATTTTGAAACGGGCATAAAAAATTCAAAAAAAACAAAAATTTGGAAAACCTTTGCATTGTGTCATTATATGTGGCCAAGTTTCCAGGAAAAATAATAAACTTGTAATAAGGCAATTATTTTAAAAAAGTGTTCTCAGAAATGAGATATCATCTCTGAAGATTCATGGCTTTCAAGCCAAATGATCAATCTTATGGCCACATTTGTGGCATAGTTTGTTCAAATGATCTCATATTGTGCACAAGGGTGCATATTGGCATGGCAAACAATGTTGCCTAAGGAAGTTTTCATTTTCTTTGGACGAAAAAACCATTTTTCATTTTCCGAGTGCCCAAAAGGAGGTTTTTTTGTGAAGGACCTCCCAAATAATTGTTGCAAAATTGGACCAAATCAATTTTCTAAAATACTAGGACATATTTAATGCACAATTGACAAAATGGTGGGGTGCAAAAAGTTTTGATCCACCTCTCGTGAAAAAGAAAAATTTCACCGATTCAGTTGGAAGTGGGTCAAATTTGAACTACAGCTGCCTCATAGTTTGCTATTTATTTTTTCCAAAAATCATTTCTAGTTACAGAAGTACCTATTTAATCATAAATACATGGTTTGGTGGCGATACGTCGAGGTTTGGGCGGTGGCCGAGGGCCCCAACTCTAGAGCGCGTAAACTCGCATGCCCGCCGCGTGGTCACCGTGTGACCGTGGCGTTGCCATGTGTTCTGGGCAGCCTAGGTATGTCTAGTGGGTTGGGCACTCCCCAGCTAGGTGCTAGGAAGAAAATCACAACATAAGATTCTCACGAGGAGACCAATCGATGCTCAAACATGAATAAGCAGCCAAGTGTTTGATTTGCGGTACGGGAAATGCACGTGGCTAATGGGCGTGAGTTTTGGCTGAGGATGATCAGTTACTAAGAAGACCGTCTTCACGAATTTTCACCTAAAAAGGAGGAGCCTAGGTGGTACTTGCTTTACAAAGTACCACACTGGACATAAATACGAATGTTGAAGCTCGGCTCAAAATAATGAATGGATTGAGCTGGCATTTGGTGGAGGATGGTTATTTGGGCATAAGAAAGCACTGTAGAAAATGGATACTATTTGGACATGCCAAAGTGGTACTTCCTTCACAAAGTGCTTCTCTGAAAAGAATAGGAAAATGAATATTTTCGAATTATTTTTGAACTAGGCAAGGAATGTTTTTGACATATTTGATGAAGATATGATCCAAAACATTTATGAGATTTTTTGGGAATAACAGAAATATAGGTTGCTTCAGAACCTAGGGAAAAAACTGCCACATGGACATGACACATAGGCAAAACTGATGAGATGGCGCCTAGTCATCACAACCAACCACAATCTACAAGGCTATGACCATCTATATTGGTCATTAACAACTAGAAATAAGGCAGCGGACTAGCACTGTTTGCTTTGTGACCATTTCGTATAAGGAAATTAGAACCTTTCTGACTAAAATGGTTGCAATGGTTTAGGGTTTGGAGCCCCCCGAACAGCTTTTGACCAATTGGTCTGAAATGGTCATAGATCTATGACCAATTCTTCCAGGGTCACCGACAGAAGGTCACTAGTTGACATATTTCTTGTAGTGGCCAACTGTCGTGGTACTAAGTCTGACAGTAAGAGTAGGGGGTACGTATGAGGAGGCAAGGCCCTAGCTACGGCGAGGTTGTACACGCGAGTTTACGAGTTCAGGCCCCTCTCGGAAGAGGTAAAAGCCCTACGTCCTCGTGCCCTAAGGCGGTTGACTGGAATATGGATGTGTGTGTTATAGGGGGTGCAAACCCTTGTGCCATAGGAGGACGGTGTCTTATATAGAGTGCGCCAGGACCCCAGCCGCCCCCCGTTACAGGGTTCAATATACATTAAGACAGGGCGTTACTGGTAACGCCAGCTATAAAGAGCTATCAATGATCTTTAAGACTATGGAGTGAATGCCTGACAGTTGCCATCCTGAGTGACTCTAGGTCTTCTGTACTCCGAGTGGTTTCTTGTATGGTCGAATGACTTCATCTTAGTCGAATGGAATTGAGATATCCGAGTGGGATAATTGGTCGAGTGGATTGCACTACATGGTTACTTCAGTCGGTATCATTTGTTATGCTTTGAATGTCCTTGATTCTTGGGTAGTGACCTTGGGTAGGGCGTCTTGGTCAGGCCTATTACCCTACCCTAGGTCTATGGCATCGTTAGGCGGACCAGCGTGAGGCCGGGGGCTTAGTAGCGGGTCATCGGGGGCGGTGGGCGGCAGGCCGGGCGACGTCAGGTCGGAGGCAGCGGCGGGGTGCAGTCAGGGGGGATATGAGGGAGTGGGAGATGGAGAGAGAGGAGGGGGTGTTAGGGCCGTTATGTAGGGGCTTGTTTGTCGTTCGCTAGCTGACGACAAAGAGGGAGGGGGGGTCTTTACAATAGCTGGCTTCCACTGAACCCCACCCATCTCTGTGCCGCCAGCTAGCGGACGACAAAGTTTCTTTGCGGTCAGCAAGCCGACGACAAAGAACATGCTGATAGCAAATTCTACCTTTGTCGTTAGCCATTTCTTTGTCGTCGGTTTTTGGTTAGCGGACGGGAAAGACCTTCTTTGCCGTCAGCTAGCAGGCGGCAAAGAACAAGCTGATGGAAAATTCTTTGATTCTAGTAGTGGTAGCCCAATCCTTTTGTGGCAAAGGACAGGCCGAAACGGTCTCTTATAATAAGCAAAACGTTCTTGAGGGTACACGGGAATTTCATCATGCCACTTTCATCATGTTGGTTTAATTCGTGTTCGCTACTTTGATAATTTGATACGTGGGTGGATCGGTGCTTAGGTGCTGTTCTTACTTGAACAAACCTCCTACTTATGATTAACCGACTCTCAAGCATCCGCAACTATGAGAAAAGTATTAAGATAAAATCTAACCATAGCATTAAACTTTTGGATCCAAATCGGTCCCTTACAAAGTAGCGCATAAATTAGGATTTAAGCTTCTGTCACTCTAGCAACCCATCATCTAATAACTACTCCACAATGCATTCCCTTAGACCCAAGTATGGTGAACTTCCATGTAGTCAATGTTCACATGACACCCCTAAGGGAATCACAACTTACATATCATCAAAATATCAAACACATATCACATTCACATGATTACTTGCAACATGACTTCTCCCGTGACCTCAAGAACAAAAGTAGCTACTCACAAATAATAATCATGCTCAAGATCAGTGGGGTATTAAATAGCATAATGGATCTGAACATATAATCTTCCACCAAATAAACCATATAGTAATAAATTACAAGATGTAATCAACACTACTAGTCACCCACAAGTACCAATCTAAGGTTCCAGTACAAAGATTGAACACAAGAGATGAACTAGGGTTTGAGAGGAGATGG